CACTTGCTTTACCCTTCGTTTCATTACATTTGTGTCCATCCTCATTTCTCAAGAGTTTCCCTCACACACACAATAATTACTCTCTTATTATAAACTCCTTTAATGGCGTCGCCGGATAATGAGTTCCTAATTGATAACAACATGAATAAGCTCGACGATGATATCCCCAATTTCCTTCCCACCCCCTTCATATTCTTCACAAACATCCTCACTCTCCAAGCCCAGATATTCTCCACGTGCCTACTCAGCCTCGCCTCACCCTTCTTTTCTATCTTCTCTTTCTTCTTCCGCCGGCCGGCCGGCCAGCCACGATTACCTAAAACGGGACGGCAGCCGCCTGCTGGGGAGGATAGTTGCGGGGCTGATGGCGGCAGTGTACGTCTGCGTGGTGCTGATGTCGGCGCTGGCTGTGGTGGTGGTTTTAGGAGTGGGGCTCGTGAGAGCGTGGGCGGAGGGGCCTATTTACACGAGGGTGGGCCTGCAGTTTGATTACTCGGAGGCTCACCCGATGGCCGTGGTTCGGCTTGGACCGACGGCCCCAGTGGGTCACACCTATCATGTGTCCTTGCTTCTCTTGATGCCCGAGTCCGATTACAACAGAGACCTCGGTATATTTCAGGTAATTATTATTGATTGGACTCATCCATGATTAATGATTAATTTGAATATTTTTAGATTTTCCTTTTTTCCTTATTTCTCATCTATTCTGATGTAATTTGGCCAGTTTTGTTATAGAGTGATCGGATGACTCGACTTATAGAGTCATTCGCACTTATTCACCAATAGTGTATTGACAAGTGTTCTACAATAAATACAATTTGACATTAAGTGGTGGATGACTCTATAAGAAAATCATCTGATAGCTCTATCGAAGTTTTGTTTAATTTGGCTGAGTGTAATCCATTTTCTACCAATATGTTTGACAAAATCAGCTGAGTGCGGAGTTGGCATTAAGTGGTGGATGAATCTATAAGAAAATCATCCGATAGCTCTTTAGAAGTTTTGTTTAATTTGGCTGAGTGTAATCCATTTTCTACCAATATGTTTGACAAAATCAGCTGAGTGCGGAGTTGGTATCGGCACAAGGTGATATAATCGCAAAATCTAGTCTTTCGTGCATGTTACGGTTCAGAAGCTGGCCCATTAGGCTCACAAGAACATTTCTGATGGGTCTACCGATTATACTCGGCATCACGACTGAAACTCAAACCATCACCTTCCCAATACTAAAACATAAAGAAAGCAGCAGCCATCCCCGGACAGAATACATCCGGATTACGATGATCCCTCGAGCATGGATCAGATCCCTTCCTCAGTTTTACGATGCGGAGGTTCTCGTGAGATCCCAGCCGCCATGGTCCAAAGAATTTGTTCACTGGTGGAAGTTGACTTTCTGCGTGTGGACGACTATGTACGTGTTCGTAATATTGCTCGTTATGGTTCTCGTGTCTTTACTCAAGCCCCTCATCTTTCCAGTCATCGTGGTGACTAGTCGAGATTTAATATCGTCCGACGAGAGGGAGTATGTGAATAGATGGCAAGAACACAGTAGGAGTAAAAGGAAGGTTGCCATTAATGTCCTTCATGCACCAGCCACGAGTATTTCTGTTTCTCATGGGATGGATTTTGAAGAAGGCAGTGGGGACTCATCAGAGTTGATATCAACACAAAGGGAATAGTGATATCATTTTGTAGGTGGGATTTGAGATGAAAATTATGCTAGTATTTTGTTTTTTTGAAGTTTTTAGCTGGTAATGGTATAATGAAACATGGTAAATTATGTAATGAATGTTGTAGTATACTGGTGTGTTTAGTTATGTGAGAATGATTTTTGTTTGACAGATGCCAATTTGTGGAGGAACATGAATGTTACATATACTGGTGTGTTTAGTTATGCTAGAAAGATTTTAGTTTGACATACGCCAATTTGTGGAGGAACATGATCGTGCCAAAATACGATAAACCTAAAGCTGCAAATGAACCGAGCAGCTCGCGAGCGCTCGAGTCAAAGCTTGGCTCGAGTTCGAGTTTGACCGAACTCGAGTCGAGATCGAGCATGTTATCGAGTCGATCTCGAGCATAGATTTTGGAAGGTCGAGCTTGAGATATGTAATTAATTTCTAAAATACTCCTTATACCTAAATGTTAAAAATATTCTAATAGTAGTTTTACTTGAAATTCGAGTCCAACTTGGCCATTTTACTTCAAAATCGGGCTGAACTCGAGCAATTTTTCTAGCATTTCGTTTTCAATCGATGTCAAGTCGAGCTCGAGCAATTGTCTTCTTTTGTTGAGTCGATCTCGAGCGTCATAGAGCTCAGGAAAAAAAAATCAATTTTGCTCGATAAGGCCAATGCACGGCTCGGTTGGGTAAGGCTAATGCTCGACTCGGTTTGACTTGTTTGCAACCCGGGAAGTGATGAGTCAAAATAGGCTTTTCATTACACACCACAACACATTATAACATGGCTTAGGATCCGAATATTTCGAAATATAACCTACCACCGATGAGCCTATTAATTGGATGAACCCATTTTCGCACAACCGGGACAAGACATTCCAGTGGCCTGCTAAATAACTTAGAGCCTGTGAATCGTTTTCATGTCGGCTGCTTCGTGTAGAGTCCCTTTCTCAACATGGTCCCACCACTTGAAGAGGAAATTATCGACAACCAATCTGAACCATGGGGATAGCTTCACGCCTTCATCGCCAGCATCTGCTTTCCTTAGAAGCTCTTTCAGTTGTTCACGATTCACATATTTGATATCGGCCATTTCATCTGGGTATTGGTTGAACGCTAACATCACGTGTGACGAACAGAAGATAGTCCACTGCACATAAGAGAAGACAAATGTTCTATCAGAATCAAGCCACAGAGCCAGAATGCACCTAAACATACAAATTGATAGAAAAGATTAACAATAATTTCTTGAGTTAATGGATCCTCTGGTAACATGTAAAGCTGAATTACAAGAACTCATTGGGGTCTGAGGTTCAGCATAGTTATAGACAACACTTCGAGCTTAAGGTTTGTATTATTCGGCAACTATTGAAGTTCTAGTTAGATAACTAGGAACACTGTACCTAAAATTTGAAAGTTCTTTTTCATTCTTAAGATATTAAAGAATCTTACTGAGCCTTTATATTTAAGAAGGAATTACATTCATATTCTCCCCACTTCCCATCAGAAGGCGCTTTGTACAACATACGGCCTAATAAAATAAACTGGTCAACTGGAATGTCTTCGGGAGGGATACCCAGTTCATCAAAAAGCTTCCTTTGTGCAGCATTTTTCACCCCTTCAGGATAGAAAACATTGGCACTTATAACATATTGGCCTTGAAAGCAATACGTATAGATTGTAATCAAATATTGCTGGATCAAAAAAGTCAAGTGTACCAAGAGCATTTTCTTCAATAAGCTCAGACTCTCGGTATAGGGGATGACTGCAGCATGTGTTTGTCCACACCATAGGAAATGTCACCTTTGTTGCAGACCTTTGCTGCACATGGGACAAATATATAAATGGAAAAAACAATGCATGGTAATTGCAATTTGCGAGTATAAGCAGGATTTTCACAAACGATTTAGTAATCAGAGGAATTCGAAAAGGAACAAGAAAACCCCTCCCGTTACGGTTTTCTTTTTGTTGCACAAGCGCAAACTTATTCTTTTTGGTCCTGATATTCTTCAACCACAAATGTTGTACATTAGAAAACTTGGCCCATCGGTCCCTAATCATCTTTCTATATTGCTAAATAGGTGGTGTGTAGAAAGAATCAGCTTTCTGAAATCAACTTGCAGCAAGAACAAGATAAAACTATAATCGAAAAGCACACACCTGAAGCAATAACTCGTTTTTTGAGTTAAACAGAAACACACTGAAAGCCCTGTGCAGCAAATTTTCCGACTCGATTTTTTCCATCAAGTGGCCTGCATGTATAAAGATTGTCGATACAAGAATGTTGTGCTAAAATTCAGAATATATTACTCAAGCAGCAGGAATGTAATAAGAGAGTGAAAACACTAAAATATGCTAAAAGACTCAAGCTTCACAATAAGCAGAATAAACCAATGTAAATTTGCAGCTCTGAGATAACAGAACGATAAACAAATATCTAAATGTAAAACCGCTATCATGGCAGATCGACCAAACAAAAACCTGACATTGTTAGGAGAAGAAATGTCCTACTTACAATTGTATTTGGTATCATGGCCAACAACACGGTCATTCTCATCAACCAATATACATCTGCAGAAGATACAGGACTTTTAACAATCTTTTACCAGTAAACTCAAATAAATCAAAAGCTCTCACTTCAGACGAAATATCTAAAATAAGCATGGAAAATGTTTAGAAAAACGATGATTCAAAGGCCTGCACACTACACATCAGAACGATCTAAATCTCTGCATAATGAATGGAGGATAAAACCTCACATAATAATAATATCATTTCAAATGTCTCAATTTCATAGAAGGGAAAAATATTACAATGAAAAATAGGGTAACTTCAAAACCCACAATCATCACTTATTTCATAATTGAAAGAAACCCACCGAAGTTCACGACCTAAAAATGTTGTAGATAAGGGAAACCAGTCAAATTGCATAAAGAAGAAAAGGGAAAAGGCTGGGAAAAAACTTGTCCACAAACATCAGGCGTCTCTGCACCGCGTCCATGGCAGAATCAGCTGTGACATCGCCCGTGGTCAACGGAGGAGCTGCGGCAAACGAATAAGAGGACGACGCGCTGACGACCCTTCTGGCTGCGCCGGCAGATGCGAAGATTGACGCCGACTTGAAATTAATCGATTTCAGTGGAAAAGACGAAGAAGAAGAAGAAGTAGAAAACGAACAAGAGGGCGCTGCCGGCAACAAATTTATCACGGTCTTACAGTTCAATGACGGCATTTTCATTGTGTTACTGTAACAAATTACCACGTTAGTCGCTAACAAATGAAGTGAGAATAGATACAAAGGACCCTATGTATATAGCTCGTCGAGTGAAAATATCAAAAGGGAATTATAATTAACAATTATATAACGTGGGCACGCCGAACATGCAATCTGAATAATAATAATAATTGAAGAAAAATGAATTAGAAGAAATATTTTTTTGTATATTATAAGAGATCAATATCGAGACACAAATTGTGTGGAAATTAGAGGATTCAGATCGGATTCATTGGAGTTGGATCAGACACCAAAGGATTGAATTTATTCTTGCTAACAAAATCCGAAATCTTTTTATCATTTGAAGGGGCTAAAATGAATACATAAAAGGTTATCACGGACAAACAAAAATGATGAAGTACAAATAAATAATTAAACTAGTATCTGCATTAAAATAAGCAAAAGCAGAAAGAGAACACTTTCAGAATCTTTCAGCAAATAAAAATGTTCTTAATAAGCCCGATAAAGGAAACTTCAGGCAACTGCAAATAATATTATATACAACGTTTGATAACAACTATGATTGGACACTTTTCTCAAAAGTTGTCAAGAAACTTACCCGAGAGTGGGCTTCTCCTTCGAGCTGCACGGCAAGTAGAAAAGACGACTGAATTAGGATATTTGTCGCATCTCCAAACATAAATAATGATGTGAAAATACAAGAACAAAAGATCTTCCCGATCACGTTAACAGATTAATCTCCTCTACTTATAAAATGATTAGAACCCTTTCTAGCTAAATCAATCTACGACAATAAAACGATGATAAATCTAGATCAAATTATCATCTTTCACCAACTCGAAGCAACCACAAATAATTTACAACATGATTCGATTAAGCTCCTCTATTCATAACATGATTAGAGTACGAAACAAGCGTACCCTTATTAGCTAAATCAATATACGGCAATAAAACGATGATAAATCAAGATCAAATTATCATCTTTCACAAACTCGAAGCAACAAGCACAAATGATTTATAACATGATTAGATTAAGCTTCTCTATTTATAACATGATTAGAGTACGAAACAAGCGAACGCTTTTTATCTAAATCAATCTACGACAATCAAACGATGATAAATCAAGATCAAATTATCATCTTTCACAAACTCGAAGCAACAACCACGAATGATTTATCATAATAACCACAAAGATTTATAATAACGATATTCATCTCATAAAATGAAAATCTGAGATCTGAGCTATCAGATCTGATTACGAAAACCTAAAGGCAGTGAATCAAAATCATAGGAAAATTAATTAACGAAGGGATCAACGACCTCACCTTATAAACCGAATTTAACGGAGACGGCGATAGGGCAGAGTCTGTAGAGACTCTCACGACGCAAAGGAAAAAAGTTTAGAGAGAGAGAGAGAAGTGAGACAGAGAGAGAGACAGGAAAGAGGTGAAGAGAGGCGAATTTATATTTATATAATATAATTAAGTGTGAAAAGGGTACAGAAAATTATAAGGGCAAACGAAAACACCGCATCAGTGGAAGTACAATTAGTCTCGTGTAGAAGAGTAGGACAAGTGTTATAGCAAGACAAATTGTGATTTGCGATTACAAGTATTTTTGGATTTTGGATTATATTTAATTTGATTTACTAAATAAAATGTGTTAAAAATTGTAAGCAAATTGTGTTTTCCAAATCTAGATTTAGTATCGATTATGGCTGTAAACGAGTCGAGCGGTTCGCGAGCCGCTCGCGAGCGCTCGAGTCGAAGCTCGACTCGAACACGAAATCGAGTCGAGCTCGAGCCCATATTTTGCCTCGTCGAGCGGCTCTAAATACATGTTAAATTATTAAAATACCCTTTATTTATATGTTAAGATATGTCCTTATTGGTAATTTTATCTTTCTACTTCAAATTTTTCGAGCCGAGCTCGAGTATTTTGATTTCGAGTCGAGCTCGAGCTGTTGAAATTTTTTATCGAGTCGAGCTCGAGCCTAAAAAATCGAGCCCGACGAGCTCGAGCAACTAAAAATAAAATCAATCCTGCTCGATAAAGCAATGCTCGACTCGGCTCGGCTCGTTTGCAGCCCTAGTATCGATGACAAAAAAAATACAAAATACAAAATAAGTCTTAAATATTCTAATCAAGATTGGAGTTTGACTGAATTACTATTAAAACAATTAAATAACAATAAAATAACTAAAGAATTAGCAAAAGTTACAGGGTGCCGAGAAATCTCATCAAATTTTAAATCTTTATTGAACGCTTATATGTTCGGTTACTTGATTCAACAAGTCTATATACATCTATGACTTTATGCTCGATAATTATTCGCAACATAAACGACAAATTCGTTCAATTAAATAACACCTGAGCCTGTTTAGGGCCATGTTATTCAACCCTGGCCCTGCCCACCGGCCCAAGTCCAGTTCGACTTGGGAAATCAAAATATATTTGTTTTATTTTTTTATAGGACAGGTCCCACACCGAAGTTAGGCCCGACCCTGGCCAGCGGGTCACCAACCCGCCACGAACCTAGATAAGGGTTGATTCCGAGTCGCCATTTTTTAGCCCCATGGCCCAGACCTAGCCCATGTTTTGGCCATGTCTAGGTATATAATATCATAAGGGAAAAAGACGTATCTACGAACTAAATAAGCCTCAAATTCAATAATACGTATCAATCTTATTAATCCCAGCTTTATAAACTCGGAAACCCCATATTCCCAGACAACGGGCAATCAATAAAAAGGGAAGCAAGATCGGTAAAATAATAAGTCTTCCATTATATCACTAATTGATGTCGAAGATTGGTTGTAATGAAGGTATGTTGCCGAAAATGAAGCGATCTGAAGAAGATACCATAGATAGGGAAAAGGAAAGTGAAAGATCTATTTGGAAAAAATGCAAGGCACTCAATTATCTCGAAGCTCGCGAACGAGTTCGATCGACTGAAATTTTCAACTCGTCGACGAAGTTGATTTATGAATCTGGTGCAAGTGTCAAGGTTTTACAATCATACTTAATGTCAAAGCATCTTCTATGAAACTTTACACAACAATTGGTTATTTGTTTGTTTTTTTATTTATTTTCGAGTTTATTTTTTTTTGTTTATCTTAATTCTAGTTTCATTTATCTTCAAGATTTTTTTTTTGTTGTTTATCTTAATTCTATTATTTCACTTTCAGAGTTTTGAATTGTTTGTTCTAAGGCTTTTATGATGGTTTTCATATTGTCTGATTTTTTTTTTCTTTTTTTTTGCAGCAAAATGTCATCATTTGTAGTCTTCATTCACTACAATGGAGATTGAGATAATAACAACAATTACAGTAACTTTGAAGCTACGGGAATAAGTGCAAACCACAATTGTTCCTTCCACGATTTCAGAAAACAAATTTGTGACAAACTGAAGAGAAACCTATTGGAAACAAGATTGGATTTGAGGTATCAAGTGCGAGAATGTTACCCTACTATTCGGATCGATGACGATCAGAGCCTTAGTTTCTACCTTTACATATAATCAAGAGAGGATGACTTCTCAAAGTTTCCTGTTTGTATAAAAAAAAATAAGAATATATGGAGTTGGTTCCTCTGTCAATTGATTCACATGTTGTTGGAGTACCGGATAATCAGTTCATTGTTCCTATGTCTAATTTTCCAGATGATGAAAATGGAATAACTACAAATTCAATGAATTTCATGGATTTTGCAAAGGAAGCCGCCGAAGCAATGTCATTAGCTGCAAAGACAATTGAAAATGGGCAGAACACAATGTATCATGATGGGGTGAATTCAGTTGAGTCATTAGCTGCAAAGACAATTGAAAATGGGCAGAACACAATGTATCATGATTGGGTGAATTCGGTTGACTCGGAGGGATTTACAACAGGTCCAAAGGTTGGTCATTCATACCCCAACAAAGAAGAGTTGCAGAAAATGCTTGCATTATATGCGATTAAGCATCAGTTCCAATTCACGATTGAAAAATCGTGCCCTAAACAGTACTTTGTGAAGTGCGTTGATGAAGGTTACAAATGGTTCATTAAATCATCTCGAGTCGGACAATCAAGTGTGTTCAAAATTAGACAAATGGACAACAATCATAGTTGTCCATTCGATGTGCGGACAAACAATCAGAGGCAAGCCACATCTACCCTGGTTAGTGACTGCATCAAGGCGAAGTTCGCGAAAGTTAATACGAACTACAATCCGGCAGAGATAATTCAGGATATGAAGTTAAGGTATGGTATAGATTTATCGTATAAAAAAGCGTGGAGATCAAAGCGAAAGGCCATTGATGAGGTGCAGGGGAAACCAGACGAATCATACGAGTATATACAAGAGTACCTTCAGAAACTTTGCAGCTCGAATCCAGGAAGAGTTGTCAACTTATTTACTATAACGGGTAAACGTTTTATGTACGTTTTCATGTCACTTAATGCATCAATGAAAGGGTGGGAGCATTGCAGGCCTATCATAATAGTTGACGGCACATTTCTAACGTCTGCATATGGTGGAGTTTTATTAACAGCTTGTACTCAAGATGAAAATTCGCACGTACTACCACTCGCATTCTGTGTTGTCGACTCGGAAAACAACGAGGCATATCTTTGGTTTTTCAAGAAGCTGAAACATTCGTTAGCTGAAAGGGAGGGTCTCTGCATTGTTTCGGATCGACACGACAACATTAAATATGCTGTAGCAAAGGTACTGCTAGATAAATATTTCTACAATGTTTTTACTTAAGGCATGTGTGTGTGGGTCTGTTGTTCTAATTAGAATTGATTAGTGGTGTTTGTTGCAGACTTTGAGATCATTCAGAAATCAAATGTTGTTTGTTGTGTGATAATTTAATTTTTCAAAACATTATTAATTTACTTAAGGCTGATGTTGTACAGTGTTCAAAGCATCATAATTTTCAGAATCTTATCTTTTAGTTTAGTCTTCAGTCTTAATAATGTTGTGTAAAAAAGAAAAATAAAATCATGATAATATGTAGTGTTTATTAATTTATGCTGATCCCAATTCACCTTTCTGGGTCGCTTTGTGTGATACCCCGATTATTATAATATATGTAAGATTAGTTCTAAAATATGTAATTCCATGTCCTACAATATGTTGAAATAATTGTGTTTACTTTTTATGTTGCTCTATAATAGGTATATCCAGAAGCAGCGCACTGTTTGTGCACATACCACCTATCAAACAATTTGAAGAAACACTATCGAATTGAGACAGCAGCGGTAAAAAATGCATTTATCGCCGCTTCTAGAGCATACACAAAGGAAGAGTTTAACAAGTATATGCTAGAACTGAAGATGTTGAATTCTGAAGTTCCAACATATCTTGAAAAGGTCGGCATCCACAAATGGTCTCATTTTCATTGCCACGAGAATAGGTATTTCACCATGACGTCAAACGCAGCAGAATCGATAAGCTCTGCGACGAAAGTGGTATGTGATTTGCCCATTACAACTTTACTCGAGTCCCTGAGGAATTTGCAACAAAAGTGGAATGTGGCAAATCGGGAAGAGGCGAAGGGCATGTTCACAGACCTGACGAAAAAAGCAAATGCAATCATTGAAGAAAACTACAAATTGGCATCTCGTTTATATGTAAGATTAAATTACTAAATGTGTACTTTAAAATAATGGAAATAGTTCAGCTTTAATGTTTACATTTTTTTTCTCAATTTCTCACAGGTTCAGAAGGCCAGCGACCACGTTTATAAGGTGTCGACCGAAGCCTGTTTGTATGTTGTAAATTTGGAATCTAAGACCTGCACCTGCAATCGGTTCCAAATGGATGAGCTACCATGTTCGCACGCCATACGAGTCAATCGATCCCTGCATATCGATCCATTGCCATTTTGTTCATCCTTCTACAAAACGAAAAACTTTCTAGAGACGTATGCTGAGCCGGTTTCCCCAATTTAAGGGTCACATACTTTTAGCCCAATTAGAACTAAGAAAGAAAGAAATGTGCAACCACCGGACGAGTAAATAAGACCAGGGCGTCGTCGGAAACAATGTTTTACGAGTGCGTTGGAGGCTCTGAAAAAGAAAATAAGTGTGGAAAATGCCAAGGGAGGGGGCATAATTTCAAAACATGTCCAAATCCTCCCAAAATTGTTGGAGATTTTTAGTGATAACTCTATATTGATGTTGATTTAATGTTTCAGTTGGTTGTTTATTATTATTATTATTAATATTATTAATATTATTATTATTCCATGGTATATTAACCGCAGACTTTTATTATTAATTGTTTCGGTTTTTTATTTCAGTTGAGTGATTTATTGTATTTTGGAGATGGATATTGTAAGTATATTTGATTATATTAAAATATTACCTCTTGATTTTCTACAGGTTTCATTTTTGTTTCTTAAGAATGAAAAAAGAAAAATTATCTTAAAATTGCATACAATTGTAGGTATGGTTTAGTGGAAGAAAATAATTCTTAAGTAAACCACCTAACATATTGAGGAATCTGTTGAGAAAATTACCCCCTGTACAACTCATATTCCTTGTAAGTACAAAAACCTAACCAAAAGTTTTTATATTCCACATTAACGATTTAATGATCACCCTATTTCTATTCTCCTAAGGATCTCTACTGTAGATATATATATATATATATATATATATATATATATATATTATTAAGCTAATGAGAAGAGAACAGATTTGTGAAAAGCATGTGAAACGTGTGCCCCCTCTCTCTAGATCTCATTCGAGCTTTATCTTTTTCATGTTGCTCCACCGGTACAAGTTGAAGTGGTGTAAGAGTGATACAGTAGAATATATCGAAGGTAACCGAGACCCCGTGATCATCTACCTGAGCCGATGAACCACGACTCGAAGGTCGAGGATCGCTGACTCCAGCCCGCCGGAGATATGTCGCGACCAGCCGGAGGTGACGCGCCGACTGCCACCGTGAACAGGAGCCGAAGCGACCCAACCGTGATGAACTGGCGACCTCCACGCAGCCCACATGACCCGATTGATCTATCCGTTCGTTCATGTGTTGTTCCCAGTCATCCCGAATCCATCAAATTTAGATTAATTTTAAGCCGTAAGTTTTCTACGTAAAACCTTCAGATCCGGTATACATAGGTTTACATTTGCTATTGAAGTTGTGATTGTGCATAACTAGATTCTCGCAGATCCCAACTAAAGGGATATGAAAAAGCAACCTAAACCAAGGGCTAAAGTTCTCTTTTCTTAAACCAATAATTCTTGATTTTTTAATGAACTTTAAAGGCATGATTTGTAGTCTTTAAACTTTGAAACTCAACCTATTTTGTACCTTAAAAAAGAAGAATAAATCTCTGAGAACTTAAACAAAACTCAAGGCAAAACATGCTAACACAAGGTTCTTTATTCTCCTTAAAACTTAACAACTTTTACCATGCGTTTTAACTTCTTCGTAACTGACACTTAAGCTCAAAACTCGGTGATAACAATGGTAAGGTTCTTAGAATAGAGAAGGAAGAGGCTTGATCTTGGCTGCAAAATGGCTTGGGAAATGGCTAGTAGTTCTCGGCTTGTTGATGGCTAGGGTTCTCAGCCTTTTTGTTAAATACTTCTTGGTTTTTTCAGGTAATAGGGTGGATCATCTTTTGATGGAAATTCTTGGCCTTCTCTAATGTTGCGCTGTTCTCAGACAAGGCTACACGCGTGCACAGGTCACCGGTGGACGCTCTTGGGTCTCTTCATCGGTGCTTGCGCTAAAGATGTTTGGATATTTTTGCAGAGGGAGAACGATGAGGGCTTAGGTTATTTCTGAATTTTTTTTTGCTCAGGGAAATGAAAGTGGTGGCTGGCGTTCTCTAGGGTTCTTAAATTAGAAGGAGTTAGGGCATGTTGGTTGGTAAAATCGTATAGGGTGAGGGTCTAGTTTCAAGGGGGTTGTTGGCCTAGGGCCCCCTTTGAGTCCATGGTGGTGGCTGAATGTGGATATGAGAGGGGTGTTGCTTGGAGCTTGAAGTGAATAGATTTCACCCGGCTCCTTTAACTCGAATGGCCTCCGCACCTGCAGAACCCAATGCCGGGGGTGGCCCCGGCGTCGGGCCTCCGATGCCTAAGTCAGTGCTCAGATCAAGAGAGAGAAAGTATAATGAATGAATGAGATACCTTAGCCCCCCTTTTATAGGGGGAGTGTGCTTTTGTGGGCTCAAGTTGGGCTTGGCCCATATCGTGATGCTTAGTCCATACGTGGTCTTATCTTCCAATATATATTCGTTTTCTCCATTAAACGGGTGTAGTATAATATCATATATCATCTAGTCCTCCCCCCCACTCTGGTCGAGTAAACATAACTCGATCCAAGAGTGAAATGCCTCTTCGAGCTGTTTTCTTCAACTTGCCGCTAAGATCGAGCATCAAAAGTCGAATGACCATTGAATAACCACTGAAATATCCTCCAAATGAGCTTTGAGATTTCAAGATCAAAAACCGAAAGACCACGGAGGTCGGAAACTGAATGATCTGACGTCGGGGTCGAAAACCGAAAGTCGTAAGACCGTTGAGGTTGAAAGCCGAGAGTCGACACCGCTGAGGTCGAAAATCGAGAATCGAGAGACCGTTGAGGTCAAAAGCCGAGAGTC